AGTATAAGAGCGAGTGCTTGAGAAACAGACAGAGATAGATAGAGAGAGAGAACAAGAGATAGAGAGACAGAGAGAGTGCATGTATTTAAGTTTTTTTTTTGTTTTCATTCAGTTTTTAATTTTGTTTCGTAATATTTGAATCTCGAATATTGGGTACCAATAAATTGCAACAAACTGCCAGATTTTCCAGCCCGTTTTGTTGGAGTTCATTTAAATATGTAAGTTCTTTAAGATAATTGATTATTTTTAAAAACTTGGACCCTAGTTGAATTTTGCCATAATTTTTTACTAACGCGCACAAAGTTTATAGACATACCCAGGATAAGAAAAGGAAAGTAAAAGTACGAGACAAAAGTAGACTATGCATAAGGTTAAAGAATTTTAAAATAGATCAACATTTACCATCTACACACAAAATGTAATGTTATGCAATGTAAATGTATATTTAATTCACTGCTGCAAATTGTTTTCTTAGTTTCTGTTTCTGTTTTTAGCATGTATTTATCATTTCACTAAAAAGTAGGAACTTCTGCCTGTTTTTCTGTTTTTGTAAACTGTTTTGTGAGTTTTCATGTAGTTTTGATGTATCAATTTTCCAAGAACTGAACTCAAGTGTACAAGAAACAAGTCAATATTAATAAATCAAGTAAGCACAGATTTCGCTAGCTATAATAGGTATGATTATATATATATATATATATATATATATATATATATATATATATATATATATTTATATATACATATATATATATTAGGTATATATTTTTATATACGTTGCAAGCGCTTGTCCAATCGCCAAAGTAAACAAGAAAAATCTCTTAATACAGTACGAACGCAGCAACGCTTTCATTTAAACTTGATTCCTTTGCACTTTCTGCTAAAACCACACACAAAATTTATTTGCTACTAAAAATACTAATGAGCACACAAATCTATAAAATCTATAAAATATTGTACCAAAAAACATTTGAAATAAACTTCTTAAAAAAGTATACTGTAACTATAATATATAAAATTAATAATTAATTTTCTGTCTTTCTCCGTTGGCAAAATATTTAACAAATTCTCTATGCTTTCATCTATTAATTGTCATTGTCTACGACTACAACGACGTTATCTGGTACACGCACTCGGTTCCGGTCCGTTATCTTAAAATAATTTCGATTTTTTTGATCAATTTTCAATTTTCAATTTATAATAACATGCGATTTTGCTGCATTTCCGATATAACTTAAGTTCTAATGCTGTTGTTGCTCTAACCCAAACACGCTTCAAATTCTTGACTCTCTTTGCCGGGTCGCTGCGGTAAATGTGTGACTGCTCAGAGCGGAAATGTGGGGACATATTGAGTATACGATTTGTGTGAATTAATAATATGCTATGACAAATGTGGTTGATATGTTTCTGTTGATGCATCCGTTTATAAGTATGTTGCGCATGCTGTGAATCGATGTGAATTGGCTATAAAGAAAATGTGTTCCACCTTTAGTTCATATCGTTCCCGACATCTCCTTTCAGTTTGTTACTTCTACTTTTCTGCTCTTGCTTTCAATAAAATAATCCATGGATTATAGCTACAATTACACATATAGCACATGTATTTAGCATGCAAGCACGTAATGTATGTAGTAACTACGACTGATACACACACTTACGCATACGCAAGTGTCTGTAGGTATGTATGTAAATATGTATGCTAACAGATGTGCATATGTAATTCATGTTTACTTAGTCTTGAATTTAGTTAGATTCACAATATACATTTTGGTAAAACGCCGTCATGTAGCTCGCCAAGTACAACTTATAACTCTGTTCGCTATGCTTGGTTTAAACATTATTTTAAATATATTTATTTGTTTGTTTGTGTTTTTTTTATAAATATTTGCTTTATATCTTTATGAATCCCCCTCAAGCCCGCATCTGAGTTGCGTCTATTACATCGGGCAGGCCTCGATCATTAAATGTAATTGTTAATCTGATAAATTTTTAATTATTAAATTCTTCAATGTACTTGTAAACTATTTATTCAGTTTGTTGCTTTTCTTATAGATTTTTCTCATTTTTCTTTTTATTTTATATGTTTCTCTACATGTTAAAGTAATACTTTTAGTGTTCTCAAATAGCTGCATTGCGTATTTTGCACTCATTATGATGTATGTACTAAGTATGTATATGTATATAGTTCTATTAATTCGCATGCTGCTTTTCTCGGTGTGTCCTTTTGTTCAATATCAACATAAGCACGCTGTGGCGCGAATTGTAACCGTGTATCTGTATCTGTATCTGTATCTGTATCTGTATCTATCTGTATGTATATTATCGTTGGGCTAAATATTTGATTACGCTTTGAACGCTCCATACCAAAAAGCCGGCGCACTAACATCATTTCTTAATGCATTTCGATTGATTTCGGTTGGGCAAAAGTGTGAATGTAAATATGTGAGTAAGTGTGCGTTTGTGTGTGTGTCTATGTCTGTGTGTTTTTAGTGGCGAAGTATCTTTTGTGTGTCTTTAGATTGTTTCACACAAACAACATAAATATTTTATGATTCAACTTTACACATATTTACTTTACTTTACTTTACTTTCTTAGCTTCTCATAATTTCAATTGTTTTGTTTTCTTAGGTTTCCTGTTGTTGCTTGTAAGTAATTATAGGCTTGGAAATACTTTTATGAAATTTTTGATTTGTCAAGAGTTCATTTGAAATTCTAGCAGTCGTGGGTTTGATATATATATATATATATATATATATATATTGATTTATTTATAATTATCTCTTTTTACCTTGCATCGATGCGCTAACAAAACGTGTATGTATATATATATATATATATAAATATATATATTTATATATGTATTTATATCGTAGACATAGACATAGGCATAGACATAGAGCATATATGTATATATATATAAGTTAGTTTGTAGATTAGTTAAGATTAGGATAGAATGTATACATGAAACGCTAGAGTTTGTTTCAAAATGTACTTTAAGCATTTGAGTTTCATGAGAAATATGTGGGAGTTCGTGTGTGTACTTAGTCTATGGCTAAAGTATGTTTTTTTTTCTCATTTTGTTTTTGTTTTCGTTTCTGTTGTAGAGCTTCAAAGGAACTCAGACACACATGCAAATTTGTCCCTAGCTTAAACCATACTCAACCATATATCGAATATGTATGTAGGTTTTCTTTTGCCATAGGTAATTAGCAGCTGCAGTTTGCGACTTCTTTGATTATTGTAAATACCATATGCAATTTTAATTTTACATTTGACATTATTTTACTGTTGCTTTTCGTACACGTTTTATGCTTCAAATTTACCATTTCAGTTAATTGTTAATTTTAAATTACGATCACTGCTACTTATACTTATTAGCTAAATCCATATCATTCAGTTACAGTTACAATTAGTTTATTAATCATTATTCCTTTTATTTCTCTTTTCTTTTGTTTTATTTTTGTTTTTTTTTTTGTTCTTTTGCGCCAACGTATAAATAATTTCACTTTCTAAATATATATAAACATGATGTGTGTATAGTTAGTTGTGCCTGTCTGCTTGTGTGTGTGTGTGTATGTGTTTCTTTCTTATGGTTGTGTGGGGGTTCTTTTTGTAAAATTATCAAAAAATCATTGAGTTTTCTTTTTGTTTGTATCTGTTTCGCTAAAAACACTTATGTCTTTCATGTTGGTATGCTTACGTCTAAATATAATTATGATTTTTGAGATTTTACTTTCATAGCTTAAAATTTGTTTTGTTTCCTGTTTCATGTTTTTGTTTTAGTTCAACATATACTTACATATATGTATATGCATATCCACTATACAGTATATATATATATATATATCTTGGTTTTTATCTTAACTTTTTTCTTTATGTGTACATACATATATTTTGATAATTTAACAACATTTACAAATACACACACACACAGAAGGTTTTACGTACGCATTTTACATTGTTTTTCTTTTGTTTAACTATTTTTAAAAGTATTAACATTAATTTTTGTTTTTCTCTCTTTTGTATTTTAATGCTAAACGAACGAACCGATAGACTAAGTTTATAATGCGGTCGATGCTTTAATAATTAGAATCAATTACATTTCAGCGCCTTTACTTCTTGTTTTTCAATTACACTTAAAGAGTGATGGGATATTGTTTCTTTGTTTGCCTTTGTTTTCATAAATTACTTTTTACTTTATTCGCACCGCTTATAAATTGAAAATCGTTTAAAAACTGTTAAAATGCGCTCATGCAATTTAAGTTAATTTTGTTTATTTTTTTTGTTTTATTTCTTTTGTTTTTGTAAAAAATTAGGGTTACCAATGAAAGTTTTTGCATGACTTAAAATATAATAACAGTAAATACTCGTACATAATAAAACAATGGTTGTTTGTTTTGTTTTTGCTTACTTCATTGTTTAACATAAATTGTTTTGTTTTAGTTTTCATCCTTTTCTTGTTGTTTGTTTGCTTAATTTGACTATCTGCAGTTTCTTAAAACCAAAACACAGAACAGTGCAAGTTAATTCTAAGTTCGTTTTGTTTCTGCCTTCTCTCTATGCAATGCAACTTACTTATAAACTACATTTAAGATTTAAGTTTAAGCTTATGATTATACGACGTCGCTGATTGTTTAGTGGGTTGTTTGTGTGTTTCCCCTTTTTCTGTTGTTGTTGGTTGAAGTTTGAAATTGTATTCTTCAAAATACATATACAATATATCTATATTTGTTTATTGTGTAAGTTTTGTTTATTAGGTTTTAGAATTTCTGTAGTTAGTGCTATGCGAATTTTTTCATATGATGAGAACAGTATTTAGATATTAGATTATATTTGTATATAAGTAGCTATAGCTCTCGCATCGATTGTTGTTGCTGTTGATGTTTGATGGGGTGGGTTGATCCTATTGTGGTTGGTTGGTTGGGTTTGCTTCTCAGTTGAAGTGGATGTGTTGGCGATTGCCTTGCATGCCGCTTGTACTACGAATAATAGATTGTATCTGTTGCTGCCAAAAGAACTGCTGCCGTAGTGCGAAGCTGCTGTTGGCACCTAGTCAAGTTCAGTGAACCTGACCACGGGTCGGATTCTAGATGTTCGACTTGGAGAAGCTCACGCGCAAATGGTTTGACTCGGACAGCTGATGATTATGCATTTTGATTAGTGCCAGCACGGCCTCCTCAACCGACGACAGTTGCAGCAGAGCCATCTTACGGTCCTTGCTAGAAGTGGATACGTATCTAATTAGATATATTCATTCTTCGTTTTTTCATATTAACTTACGGGAAAAATTTGAATGCTTTCACTTCAAAAGTGTTGGAGGTGAAGGCTTCTTTGATGTCATCCTCGGTGCAGGATGAGCTGTAATATGCAGAAGGAAGAGCGTTCGTTCGCTAAATTAACACCTATCGATTTAAATTCTCATGCTGCGCGTCTATAGATATCGCATAAACACCTCAGCGCCCCACCCCCAAAACAGCGGGCATAAACACAGGCACAGACACAGGCAGAGTCACAGCCACAGCCACAGACACAGACACAGGCTACAGGCATGGCCATAAGCACATAAATTCAAACGGTAGTCTCTCCGCCTCATTCGCCCCGCTCATGTAGCACACAAAAACCTGGCGGGGCGCTTTGTCATATTTGGCAGACAAAGCGCCGTGGGGCGTTCGCCTCTGACAACGGCTGAGGCTGGGGCTGCGAATGAGCTTCGGATTCGGGCTTTGGGGGTTGGGGTACGAGTTTTGGTGGTGCCGCTCATAGCGGTAATTGTAATTGCCCGCGTGGCGTTCCTGATGAAAAACCCAACTCCAGCTGTGCATGCGTTACGCAGAACGTAGAGCGCAGGATGCCCTCAAACGTTAGTCGCGATGTTATAAAAAGGATACTTACGGAATGTTACTTAAATGCAGTGTCGCCGATGGCGGGTAGATGTTCTGATAGTTCTTGCTGCCGGGCTTCTTGAAACGGTGCAATGGATTCTGTGAATAGTCACGTGTGAGGCCCGCGTCCGGCTGTCCCTCCTTGGGCAGCTGCACGGCCTGATGTTTGCTGGCCATGACACGTATTGGCTTGCCCCATAAACGTAATTTATCAAGGTGAGACATGGCTGCAAACAAAAACAAAATAAAAGGCAATGTTAAAACGTTAAAACGAATGGCAATGCATGAATTTAGTGGCGAAAGTTGTGCCGAGGGAGCAGCCTCGTTCAACTTGTGCGGGTGATAGAATATTTGTTCACGTTCGTCTTATAACATGTGTTTCCATATGTGTATATATGCAATTTACTGTATACGATACACACACATATATATATTCAAGCTGCAAAATAAAGTTCCATGCCATCCTAGTACACCCATGCCTTTCGGAACTGAGACAGCAATAAGTACTGGCAAATATTTACATACTAAAATGTAACTGCAACTTTATCAATGTCGTCTGCCTTTGGTGATTTACAAGCAAATGACTCGCCGTAAAATGCACTGCCCACAAAAGTTGGCGCTTGTTTCAGAGTATTACTTTTTGTTTTACTTTTTTGTAGCCCTCGCGACCCGGGCCCGGACTGCAGTTTCTATCTATGTCATTGGTTGTTCTTGGTCTCGATAGTCATAACACCTGCGGCTCAGTTGCACATAGACAACAACGCCGCTTAAACGGAGTAAACACTGATGTTTCCAGTTTCATATTCGTTTTCCATTACGATTTCAATTTCGATTACGTTTTTATTCAATTTGCTGTCAAGTCATGCTGGGACTAGAACATGGCCTGCCCAAGAAAGCACTTGTCCCTTTTTACATTATTTTAATAAATTATATATAACATTTTATCATTTTGCGCAGTTGTCATAAGCACTGGGTAGGGGCTGTGCATTGGTTACATGGAAAGTGGATGACATCGCGCTGGCTGGGTTGCTTATGTTTTATTGTTAAATAATATGCTTACTCAGCCGTTTATTGTTTGCCTAATGGATTAAATGATTTTACAAAAAAATAAGGCCTGCAAATATAATAAATTGTAAAATAAAAGGCTGTCTGCCAGAGGACAGCGAGATGACGACGAGGCAACAGCAGCAGTGACAAACGCTTCTTCCATTTTTACACATGCGACTCCTCTCTCTCTCTATATTTACTTGTATATAAATATATATTTGTATGACAAACACTTGTAATAAAGATTAATGTGAAGCCGAGAGAGAGCCTGGCGTGCTTTGCTCTGCTAGCCCAAAATTTTAGGACCAACTTTGCCTATCATCTCGGCGCCTTTGAAATGGTCTGCAGCTGCGTTCGCTGAGGCAGTGGCTTTCGTGGCTTTGGGCCTGGGGCTCCAACTCAAAAAGTATCTTAAAGTTTTAATTACCAGCCTGACCAGTGGCGGCAACACCAACAGCAACAACAAATCATTATTAACTTACACAGCAAAAAGAAAAAAATTGTACAAAGTGCACGCACAGCTGAGCACCGTAGAAACACCATAGAATCCCAAAAAAAATGAAATGTGAGTTAGTAAAGTTTGCCCAAAAGCCCCAAAATGACTTGTAGATGCGTCTGTCAGGATTTGTGAGTGTGTCAAAATGGGTTAAGTCACTTTGGTCAACAACAAATGGGCAACATAATTAAAATAATATACCAAGATGATGTCCATTTGAGCCTGATATATGGGGGAACCTCGGCTGTCGCCTTACAATTTGATAATATATTATAATCGACAGATGCGCGACAGGTGCGCACTTCATCTGAAGTCAGTTCATCAGCAAAACTTTGCACCAACTAAACACTGCATAATTAATTTGGCGCACGTATCACTGGACAGTGAATCACTTAACGCTAAACTTTGCCAAGTGACACATGGCGTATACGTACTCGCACCATACACATAGTACGAGCATGTGAGTGTCAGTCCGCCTGCCCTGTGCTGCCAAAATATTTGTTTTGCTCTTATTGTAAATACTTTTATGCGTATGCGTAAGCTGGCTGCTGCTGTTGCTCATGCAAAATATTTTGTAGTAATTTGTATAGCAAAAATTTATTTACGCAAAATTCCCCAGATAACAGCAATAACAGAGAGAGAAAGAGAGACAAAAAAGGAAAGAGTAAAAGGAGAGTTTCGCAGGCCGAGGAGCTCTGCACTGCAGAGTAGCGGCAGCTGTGCGTGTGCCTATCAATTTATATGAGAGTTGTGTCTATAGTTTGTTATAAGTTGTGCAAAAACTTAATCCCGGCACGGCAGCCAACAAATGGCGCGCGTCCGGCCAGCAGCCATTTGCACAATGTCGACAGCGTCGCCAACGCCTGGCCGAGAGGGCCATTATAATATTTCCCACACACAGACACACCTTAGACCTGCTCAAGTGGAGTGGACTACCGAACCCGCCCAGTGCTTATTGTTTTTTCATTGTGTGTGTTTGGTGCTTTTGTCTATTTGTGCTTTGGCTTTGCCTCTTGATTGCTGTCGCACTTTGTTTGGTCCGAGTTAGGTCTCTCTGACTTGGTCTTGGTCTGTTTTTGGGTCTGTCCGGTGTCTGTTTGGCTCGCAGTCGCATCGTTCTCTTGACTTCATTTACACTAAAAAAGTGCTTTTTCGCTTTTACGCTGTAATTCGTATGCTGAGTGTGCAATTGTAGCCGTATTTTGTACGCAACAACAGATACCGCACGGTCTTCCTCCTGCGAGACACTTTTATATGCATGGTATGGGCTGGACCATTGGACAGGGGATAGGACATCTGCTACCTGGGCAATAGACTGGGCTGGCCCCTGAGTCGGTAATCGTCTTTGTTCTGCCAGAGTTGCGAGAGTTTTGGGCAAAGTAACGAATGAATTTGTTAATATTTTATGAGTGCATAAGTGCGCACTCACCGACCAACAGCCAGGCACCCAACACAACCAACATACTTACGCGACTTCACCTGAACAAACGGACGAAAGGGACGAGCGAACGGACAGCATGGGCGGCAGAAAGACTGGCGGCAACCGAACTCAGCCGGAAGTGTTTGCCATTTGGCAGCCCTCGCGGCACATTAGTAGTCTGTGTGTTGACGCAACGCCATTAATATTTCCACATGCTAGCAGCAAGGCTTTGTGAGTGCGAGTGCGTGCGCGTGTGTGTGTGTGTGTGTCTGTGTGTGTTGTAGCTGTACAATAATTTGCTTGTCGAATAGCTTTGGTTTTGTTGCCACAAATAAAGCGAGGCATTTGTTTGCGTATCTACAATAGCTTCATCAACTGCACCACATACTGTGGTTTACCTGTGTAGTCAACTCAATGACAAATACAATTAACAATACGCATACGGCACATTGGCTGGCTGGCTGGCTGGCTGTCTAGCCAGAAATTCAAAAAACTATCCAAAACGAATTGCTGAATGCATAACACAGAGAATAAAGAGCAAATGCAAGATATTTAAATGTTATTTAAGTAGGCAAGGGACCAAAGCGTGTAAGGGTGAAGGGAAGAGTCTCGCATTACTTAAGCATTAATCCGCTCAACGCTGGAATGCTTTTGAGCTCAAATATGCAGCAGCACAATAATGATAATAATTGAAAAAATAATTGCGTGCAACACAAAGCATATTTTATCCGATCAAAGCTAATGGCCAATGATTGTTGTTGTTGCCGGTTGCCATTCTTTTATATTTCATTTTTAAATATTTTAATAGAAATCAATGAAAACAAGTATAAAAACGTTGCAGCCGTATATAAACGACTGCGTAATACTCCTTCACAGTCAAACACTGAAAATTAATTAGAAGGAGAAAAAAAATGATTCCTTTCTAGGCCGCTCTCAGCGTCTAAAAATAATATTGTTAATGAAGATTCAGCTATATGGTCAGTGTATGGAGTAGAAATAGTTTGAGAACTAATATACCCGCTGCAGTTGCAAGCGAGCATCAAAAAAGAAGCAGCAGTAGTCCCTGATGTTATTTATTTTTATAGTGAATGGCGGCCTTTCAGTCGCGCAATTTGCTGACAATTTTCTCTGCAATGTTTAACCAACTTTCTGTGCACAACATTTATATTACAAATTTAATTAATTTAAACTTTGTCGATGGCAATGATTGCTGCATATTCTGCTACGGGCAATATGAACGAAAAATTAAATATATGTGACAAACATGTGGAATATGTGGAAATTTATTTGTTTGACATTTAAGCATCAGCAGCTTGTGCAATTATTGCATATTTACGTGTGTGTGTGTGTGTGTGCGTGTGTGCGTGTGTTGCATACCTCAAAGCGGCTTAATATGAGGCATATGCGATCGTCAGCTAATGAGTACAAACTGTCTGAAATGATGAACCACGCCGCGTATGCGCAATACTTATACCCAATTACATTGGCGTTGACACCTTCAATTTTCAATTAAGCGCCTAGCGGCAACAGAACTTTGACTGCTTTTGAGTTATTTTTCAGATCCCTGGCCATCTTCCGGACCACGGCCATTGCTTGTTGAAGTATTAAATGGTATAAAACCAAATTGAAATTGAAAAGGTGTCGCTGTCAGCGCGCTGCTTGCTTTTTGTTCTTTTTTTTTGTAATAAAGTGGAATTTGGCACGTCGGTTGGGTGCTCTTAACGCCTCGCAATGCGCGGCGATTTTCATTTCGTTTAATGCGCACACAAACAGCCAAAGGGAAAGCGTTGTATGGAGCATAAGCGACGGGGACGGAGACTGTGGCAGACTGACAATGGCAAAGTGCACACAAATAAATGCAATAAAATGATTGGCATATCCCGCTGAGCAAGAGCTAAAAACGAACAGAATGGGACAGACCTTTGTTGGACGCAGGGCTGCCCAAGCCGAGAGAGAGAGAGAGAGAGATATGTATCAAATGAGAGAGGAGGTGAGACGCAACAGGAACAAGGACCACGGCCAGCACCAGGTGTTGGGCAGGCACTGGTAATAAAGCGCTTATAAAATTTCATTTATGCGCACAGGCAGCAGGCAGCAGTCAGCAGTCAACGAATCGCTCGACTCTACTCGCATTGCTGTTATACTCTACTCAACTGTGCATATCTGTCCATTTTGCCACCTCTTTTGCTTTAACAATTTTTATTATTAATACATTTTGTTTGCTGCATTTGCAGCTGCAGCATCAACAACAACATGGCTGCCAAAGATATGCAATGTTTGGAATTTAATGTTGTTGGAATTTTCATTTTAAACAAGCTGCAAGTTGCAGTCGCCGCTGCCCTTGCCGTTGCCGTTGCTCGCATTTCATTTATATTTTGTTTGTATACCCTGTAGCTACATAATAAAGGTTATCCCTGAGTGAAGACAGAATCGATCAGGGATTTAAGATCAAAGTGCATAACTTTTTCATGCCCTTCTCTTTTTCATTCTATATTTATTCTATACTCCAGACGTTTCAGTTTCCAAATATCTGACAGAGAAGCTAACAACGGATGCATTAAAGGATATGTCATCGTTAGCCACTTCCAGTTATAGCTCTGTCATGGTTTTATTCTGCTCTTTTGTAGCTGATGCACCTTTCGCCGGCGCAACTAGCGCAGATTTTTCATTACTTTTGGGGCGGATGGCAGGGCGTGGCTTGTTGCGTTGTTGTTTCGAAGTATTTGACTTACCCAAATAAGCTTGCTGCGGCTCTGCCATTTGTATGAGTGCCGAGTCCTTTTTGTTGTACAAAATCTTTACACGTTGCACATCGCCGTATACACCTGTGAATTGCGAAATGGTTGGTATTATTAATATGGATTTAAGTTTATTGCAAGGACGTTAAGAGTACGTGGAAAAGAGAGTTAACACTAATAAAAAAAGACCACTATTTGCTGTCTTAAGAACACACATTGTGGCTGCAGCAGCAGCTGCTGCTGGTGTTGTGGGTCTAATGAATATATCCAAAAATTTTAGTCCCTGAGCTTTAGGCACTAATAAATACTCGAGCCAGCCAACGCGAGAGCTCTTACGATGCAATCTACAAAGTAGCGCGCGGCCATAAGAGGCGACTTAAGCGCCGCTCAATTCGAATGGCGGGCCAGGAAAATTCGGACAGCTAGCGGAGCATTTTATGCAACGCGCAAATGTTGCTGCCGTCAAAGGACGAAAGTTTTATACACCACCAAAAAGCCATAACGTGTACGAAGATGGTTTTCTCAGCCGCTGCTGCCGCTTGACGCCCCATCCTTAGCTGTCGTCTAGCAGGTGCGGCTGAGGCTGAGGCTGAGGCTGCTCCGTATTATTGCCGGAACGAAGCCGTTAGTATCATGTACGAAACTCATAACTAGCTCAATAAGTTTTCTCAGCTATTTTTACGACCGACTCCTAGCTATACCTCGAGCTCTATAGCTTCAACTCTGGCTACAGCCTGGTTGCCGGAGTTTCCCTTCGTAACCGGCAGCATACATTTTAAGGCTGCGACACGCGGCTGATTTTACAGCTGTCAGACAAGGTGTAAGTGTGACGTTGGGGAGTTCGCAAGTTTCGTTGTTGGCCGCGTTATTGAATTGAATTTTATGGCTTTACTTACGCGGCGACTCCGCAAAGTATGCAATATGCATTTCGTCTCGCTGCTCCAGCAGCAGCTTGTGCCGGCTAACTTTAAGATACTTTAAGTGCAGAACAAAAGTATTTGCCAGCGATTTCCTTAGTCCGAGCAATGGACTTTGCTTTGACAGCTGTCCGGAGCGGAGGTGAAAATACACTTACCCTATGCTACTTGTGACCAGCAGTCCGTGTGTAGCCAATCAGCGGCAAATTTGCAGCAGGGCGCAAATTGCCATCAAGCATAAAAAATAGTTGTTGGTAGCCGGTAGCTAAAAGCTCGCAGCACCGTCCTAACGCTCTCGACCACACCCAATGCAAACAATGTAAAGTGCAGGCGCCCTCGGTTGCCCAAGACAACAAATCGAATAATGCGAAAAGTAAATTTTCAACTACCCCAACCCCGCCCCAGAGCGTCTCTCGACAAAAACAGAAAGAACAAGAAAAACAGTAAAACTGAGTGGAGCGGGAAGCAACGCTAACAAGTTACAAAAGTAGCAATAGAAATGCAGGTAGTAAATAGTGCGGGAACATAGTTCAACAGTTGGCAGTAAATCCATTTTATACAGTCGACTGGCTGCTCGACTGGCTGACTGCACAGAGCGCATACCCGAAAGAACTGCGAACTGAAACTTGACTTATGCCAAACACCGAAAAATTTCGTTTGCTTCAAATTGGCTCGCCGTAGCAACAATTGCAGCAATAAAGCAAGCCAAGCGAGCCAACTTACTCGGGCAAACATCGTACGTATCTGCTGCCAGGCATCGGCTATGGAGCATATTGAATGCCAGTCTGCTGGCCACCAGCCAGCATTGCAGCAGTGTTAGCGTTAGCGTTAGCAGTGGCAGTGGCAGGCAGCAGATGTAACATCGAGCAGCATTCCACTCTGACTCCAACGGGGCATGTGAGCAACTGCGGCTCTGTCAGCCGGTTGCCATACAAAGTGGCCGAAGGCAGTTCGCCTCCGACTAGTCAGCCAGCTTGCCAGTCTGCCAGTTTGCCAGTCAGACTTTATAATAATTTATTATCGCAAAAAGATTTAGCTATATTTGTACAGCCATGCGGCTAACTTTGAATATGTTTGCATACTTTCTGGCGCTCGTGCTGATTCCCCCGCGGCCCATTAGTCGTACGCTTCAACGTATATTTTAGATGAAAAAATATAGCTGTTGTTCGTCGTTGAATGCAAATTTGTTCTCGTGCCTCTATGGGGCGGCTTCGTGAAAACTTCAATAATCAAGCTAAGTGAAATTCTAGCTAAGTTTCCATAAAGTCTATGCCTTAATTCGCCAATGAAATTTTTGTAGAAATTTTTATAGAATTCAATCCAATATTAGTGGCTGGCTTGAGAACAATTTTAAGGTCATTGTAATTTTATTGGCGGGCAAAAGCAGTTAGATACCCAACTCAACGCCTAACATTTTAGTTAAACGAAACTTGTTAAATTATGAAAAAGTTTCATTGAAATTATTTGCACATGCTTTTCCCTTTTTCCGGCCACGGCACTTTATCAAATCGTGGCACACACACACATTCAAACGTACACCCATGCGTATGGCTGCCCTGCTAAGTGTGGCACATAAAATTTTATGAAATTATTTGTGCGCCCAACAAAAATCACGCATACGGTTTGCAACGAGCTCATAAAAATTCAATTAAACACGTTTCAACAATATTTTCGGCAGTGATATAAATTTTTAGCACGCCATTACAATTACATAAGCCGATTACCAATATATACACGCACCCGCACACACACACACACACACTCACGTATGCATCTCAATATGTTATACTAAACGATTTGCAGACTGATTAAGTTTTTATTGTGTATGCAAAATGAGGTTCAAAAGCTGTGAATGGCCCAAAAAGTGGGCAACAGTTTCACTGCCAGAAATGGGGCTCGATTAGAATGTCTGACAGCCCAATTGGCATACGGCATACGGCATACGGCATGTGGCATGTGGCATGTGGCATGTGGCATGCGGCCTATGGAAGGCAGCATGTGTCAAGTGTCTAAAGAGCGTGTCATAGACATCGTAGCATTGATCAGGGCAACAGCAATCGGGTCGCTTGCTCAATTGACTCTTTCGGGGCTGGCCAAACAACAAAGCGCTGTCAAAACTAATAAAATGTCTGCTTTAGAAAGGGTTGAGCTCCTAAAAATGGGCCTTTTTCTATTTGGCTTGGATCAATCTAAAAGTAAGCGTTTGAAGTGCGCTATTTGCGTGGGGCGTTGCAAGCTTTACATATGCCACTTTTATTATTTGATATGCAAACAGCTTAAAGCCAAGAGCAGCCAGTGAGATCCACGATTGAACGGCAAAAATTACCACCTAAACGTGGTCGTCAGGCTTCGGCGTTCGCGTCATGTGTGAAAATTGTGGCTAAGCAGCTGACACACCTGGCTGCCATTAACATAACAAATGGCGCTTTGTGTGTATATTCTGAACACACGTGTGTGTGTGTGTCTCTGTTTGTGTGTGTGGCCAATCGCCTGTTTGCTTGCCGTATAATACGCTTCGAGTGTCACCTCTGGGCAGGTTTGTGTGCGCTGGGTTCAAGCTACTTGGAAATTCAAAAGTTATTACATAAAATTTTAGCGCTGCCATTTAGTTGATTGCCCGCTTAGACTGCCTGACCGCACAGCCGTCATGTCGCCTGGCGAGTTTATCTAAATCTATTGGCACGCCATTCTGAGGCATGGGGCTGAGCGCTAACCGTGGTAAGCAGTAAGACGCTTTAGAGCTGAACAGCTTATCGACATCTCTCGCTTGCTGTGTGCAACGGGGCGTATGATTCTCGTACATCTAACAATTTTCTGCTCTACGCTTCACTCGACTCAGCAAGCGAGCTGGGCCATTGCTGGCGTTAAATCAGCAATCGAAGCTTTATTAGCACTGCAGTCAGCTGCCAACTAGCAACTGCCAACTGGCAACTGGCAAGCGAAAGGCAACTGCTGGCAGTTGCTGGTTGCAGTTAGTCTTAACTGTGGCTAACGAGCTGCTGATAGGATTTACTGTGGCTCAGTTGCTTTAAGCTGCCCTTAGTTGTACGCTTCATGCGGTTATGCGGCTGGACTGGAGTCCTTTTCAGTGTATTACAGTAGATCTAAACAATAGCCACAAAAGCAGCCGACACACAACAAAAGCAATAATCATTTTTAAGCAATTAATACGTTTGGCAAATTTTTGTTTACTTTATCAGCGATAAGTCCGGATTGCTGACAGAGTGAATTCAACGCAATTTGTACATAAATACCACACAAACGAGCCCAAATGTGTCGTCATGTGTGTGACGTAGCTGTGTGCATTTGTATTTAAAGACAATCAGTTTAAGCCACAGTCAGCCTGTTAGCTACGACCCATTCTGGACCCTTTGCACTGTGGTTGCGAGTGTTTGTCAAAAGTTTATATTTGGGTATTTAAACTCAAATTAAATGCATTTGCATGCAAACAAAGCGCACAGACAACAGTGAGACAGAGAAACACACACAGCAGATACAACACACATGTCTCTGTGGGTAAACAAGCCGCAACAACAAACCGTTTTGTGACACCAGAGACAAAGGCGACAACAGACTTAACATTGTTCTGCATATTTCTGTATGTGTGTGCTTGTAAGTGTGTGTGTGTGTGTGTGTGTTGTGGTTGCCAAGTTTTGTGCGTTTTATGCTGTTGCAGCACAAAAATGCAATACAGGCAGCCAGTCTGCTAGCAGGGGACAGCTGCGCCATTTTGTGTTGTGGCAACAAATCCATTATGCTGCAATTATGCGCTACACTTGGCAGCAGCAACAATAGCAACAACATTGTGGCTAACAAACTGTGCTGCAGGCTGTGGCAACAATCGAAGTATTTTGGTAATTAAATAAAACAAACAGATAAAGGGACACGAGTCGAGGGCTGCCCTCGGGCTGGCACTGGAAACATGTTATATGCAGCGCATGTGAAAAGTCAAATCTAAATGCTATAAAATAGTTAACACACACATACGCACACTCGAAGACATCCATGTGGACAAGGAACCCAAATCGTTGTTGGCTAGGGGAAGTTGGAGTTGCAATTCAAACAGCAAACCCCATTAACTTTACAAAGTTAGTTAAATTCATTTAGCAAACAGACATGCCACATACGCCAGACGACAAAAAGGCAGCAAGAAGACAATAACGGAGCTAAAAAGCCACCGGCACTCTCGACCACCCAACCACTCAACTATCCAAAACAACGAACTACGAAAAGTCACAAGTAAATTTTATTTCAATTGTAAAGCCAGCAAAAACCGAGTTTGTGTGTGTGCGAGAGTATAAAGTGCACACACATATGCATATAGTTTGACAGGGCAAACGAGTAAGAGAGACAGTGCAACACAATGGCTACAAGAGCCACAGCAACTGCAACAACAACAAGCGCAATGATAACTAAATAAATGGACATTTTTATAGCTATGCACTTCCGCACTCAATCTTTTGTTGTGCGAGCCCGTGAGTCTGTGTGTGTGTATGCGTATGTTGCAGGATGAGCACAATGTTAAATCATGTGTCCTGTACTATATATATATATATATATATATATATATATATATAATATATATATATATCTACATATATTCACATTTGAGCTGCGAGCGAGCCGCTTACTTGGATAACAATGGGCAACTGTTGCAGTCGAGTGGGCTGGCGGGTGGTCACGCGACATGGCTGCAGCAGGCGGTTGCGCGTGGGGCACGGAGTGGAGCACACTTAATTCATGTAATTTTACATGCACACGAGCATGTCGCAGACAACGACAACCAAGGAGCAACAGGATGCTGTTCAAGTGTGTGCCTGAGTGCGGTTTCACTTGTTGCCCGTTTGTTGCCACTGAATGTTTTTTTAAAATGTGTTTGTACGAGCGGACGTGTGTGCGTGTGTGTGTCTCTGCGAGTGTGCAGGGTTAGTGTAGATTTATGCAAGTGCATATATTTTCATTTTCATTGTTTTACAATTTGTAAGCACAACTTATGACAGGATAACTGCCAGCAGGCAGCCTCTGCATATGCAACTGTTGCTGTCGTTCGTCCTCATGCTGCTGCCTCTAGTCCTGGGCATTTGTTTGTGCGGTCCACCATCTAAAGATACTGCTTAGACTATTTCAATTTCAAGCTGATGGATTTGCTACATGCTTCAGGCAAAAAGCTATTAGAAAGCCATTTGAAGTGATTGCAATACGATATATATATATATATATATATATATATATATATATTTATATATATATTTTATATATATGTATATCTGAAGGACTTGCAACAACAGCATTGATATGCTGTTATTTAATGCGCTAGCAGCTCTGGGTGACATTTCTATGCACTTAGTGTGCTAACAGCTCCAAGTGCATAACCTGGATTGTAATAGAATACAAAGCAATTACTGCTACGATCCGTGCACAACTGACCCCTTGAGGATTTTAGATTTAATAAAACTTTTAGATGAGATTGACTTAATATTCAAATTGACGACCTGAACTTAGCTGTGCACTATTTACAATTTATGTCTGCTATGTAGAAAGTCGATTGGCTTGTTGCACGGACATTTTTTGTTAGAGATTATGTTTTGTTAATCGTTTGCCGTGAATTTTTCAGTATTCTTGGCACTGTTTTGTTATTTTCGTGCTACCCACGCAATTCTATGTCTTTCCGATATGTTTATAAATAATTTACAGCACTTTTCCTGATTGCACGTAGACGGCGTGAATTTTAAACGGAAGTACGCCAACGATTCACGGCCAAGGGATTCCAGTTGGGCAGGGCTGAAAGTTCAGTTCAATGCTAGGGCTTGAACAGCTGCAATACAGCAACTACAATGTGTGTCTTGTTTTCAGCTATTTGCAACTTTCCTACGGGGTCCAAATTCAATGAATAAACAAGTGTTCTACTAATAAAGTGGTCAAGAGTTACATTTGTGGCCCAGCCAGGCAGCCAGAGGGCAAGGCAAGGCAAGGCAAGAGATACAGGCTCAGTGAGGTAGAGGAGAGAGAGAAGTTTAACTAAAGATTGGATGCATTTTAAGAATTTGCCTTGCATTTCGCCTAGCTGAGCCACAGATACGGGTTACTTAGGAGAGTTATATATATATTTCTATAGCATGTACGATTTGTATATTGTATTTGGTTTTTGTTTTGTGCAGACGTACCAAAGAGGGTAAATAGAGCATCAGGCGTGACCATCTACAGAGAAAAAGAGAAAATAGAAGTTTGTTGTCAGTTAGCGAAAGTATTGGTTGTAGATGTTTTAAAAATTATATAAATTATAAATAATAAACAGGAGAAATAATACCAAATAGCTACATTAGTTTCAGTTTGCATTCAATTTTGTTTTACTTTCAGTAAATTAAATATGAAATTAATTATGCGAGAGCATTCGGTAAAAAATTAAAATAAATTTGGGCGAAACCAAATGCAAATAAAAAATTTTTAAATAAAAATAGTATGCGGTCTATGTGAAAATATTTATAGATGAAATGCAAACTAATTACAGGCTATGTACGAGTACTATTGCAATAAATATATTATTTGTGAGTAAATAGAGAGTATGAGTATGGGGAGCATGTGGGCATATATTTAAATACATATTTGTTTTTTTTTTTTTTTGTAGCCATTGTGGACTGATTAATTAATGATTAAATTCATTATGTTGTGGTACTTATTCTATATTCACATGTTGGCAGCACTTACCTCCTCATTTAAATTCGATACGAGCAGCACATTCGAGTAGCCCCGCATAGCTGGAGCGGCGGTTTGTAGGGCGCCGCTGTTGGCCAGCGAGAAGGCTGCCAAATTGGGCAGGGCGTTGCTGTAGCCGCCGGTGAGTGGAGTGCCGAGGCCCAAAGCGAAAGGCGGCAGCACGCCAGGTGCACCTAGGCCGTTGACTAGAGAAGGCACAGAGCGTGATACAGAGCGAGAGAGAGAGATAGAGAAAGTGGGAGAGAAAAAGAGATACATATATAGTAATATAGGTCTTCAGACAAGTTGCACGGTTGCATGCGACTTAATACTAGACGAATCGATAGCGAGTGTCAAAGGCAAAAAGTCTAAAATCAAAGCATTGGATGTGTGTGTATGTGTGAGCGAGTGGTTATGTAAGCAGGCGTTACTGGCACGAAAAATAAAATGATAATAGAGGGAAATTGTTCTGTTTGTGTTACCTATTTTATCACCTGTTAGTGAGGGCCGCTGACGGGCGGCAATCAAAAGCAGATCATTGGTATTCATTAGGCCGCCGGCGGTGGGCATGAGATCGACGCCCGGCTCGCCCGGTGGCAGCGCCGGATTCGTGAAGTCGCGTGACTTATCATTGTTGTACTTGACATTCAAGGCCGTCAATTTGCTGTTATCAATGCGCAAGGTGCAGCAGCCATTGTATATGTTCTGGCCATCTAATATGGACTTGGCCTGCTGTGCGGAGTGGGCATCCGGATACTGGATGAGAGCCTGAAGAAAGCATACAAGACATAGAATACGTATAAGATTTGTTCGAATTCAAATGATTCTGCACTGCGCTGTGCTCACCTGGAATGAATTGTTTTTGGTAAAGGTAACAATCTTCAGCACCTTGCCAAAGCGTTGGAATATCTGATGCAATATGTCCAACGACACAGGGTACATCAGAGTTTCGACAATAACGCGCAGCACCGTATTGGGTCCGCCGGCTGCATTGGTATTGTTGCTGCCCGCCGAAGCATTCACAGCACTCGTGTTGTTCTGCAAGATGGCCACAGTACTGCAGTTATTTTCGCCCGAGTTGTTGGCATTGTTGCTGGTCGCATTGGCAGCGGCACATAGGGGCAACGGCGATCCACCGGCTGGCGATTGGATGCGGTAGTCGCTCTGCACCACCGACGAGTTCTGCTGCAATGAGTGAAAGAATGGAAGAGAATTGTTAAGTCAGTTGACGGAAAAAATCATGTCTGCCAAAGTTTTTATTGGTTAAACGATGCACATGGCAAAACTTTGTGCATTAATCAAAAAACTTGCTATACAACAACAAAAATTTATGCTTGTCGGCAACTAGGCGAAAATATGCTAAATATTTATAGCAGCAGCAGCAGCAGCAGCAGCAGCAGCAACAGTATCAGCAACAACAACAGGTAGCACATACTAGTAATGGAAACAGGAAGAGCCAGCCCGGGCCAGCAACATAAATCTCAATCAAAATCAATAATATCAAGTACCGTAATAATAAAAGGAAATCAGAGTGCAGAGAGAGAATGGTAGACGTAGGGACGTGAGCACGCAAGGACGACTTCAGGCCGTTAGAGCGCTGTCAGTCCCACGCTGCGCGGCAAAACTTCTTGCGTGAAATATACACGTTCTATCGGAAAACAATTTAATGACATTCGGAAGTAAATTTATTCCTATTCGTGCTGAATTTTGATTTCGAAAATCATAACGTAAACACATTCGACCGTCCTTAGCAGTCAGCCACCGAGCACCCTGCACGCTGACCCCCTCTCCGAGTCCTAACGCGTTTTTTGTGTTTGTCAGCAACAGCATCAAAGTTCTAGACACACGTGAAGCAACAATCCCCCCAGGCGAGCCATTTGTTTTTGCTACCTCTTGCTAGATAAATTCTTGTAGACGAAACAAAGCCAAAGGCAAGGAACTCAGTCAGAGATTCTGCCTTGGGCCCTGACTTCTGGCTAGGTTTATAAAAATAATAAAAATTGATTAGAATTGCGCTGTGTGAGGTCTCTGCCACAGTCAGGCAGGCAGGCAGGCAGGCAGGCAAGCAACGTACACACGCGGCGTATGTGTAACGTAATGTGCGTGGAGTATGGAGGAAGAAAAGTGGATGATGCTGCGGCCGTTACGATTGCCATTCAGTTCGGCTCGTAGTCTATGACTGTAATTTGATACTTCACTTTGCCTGATTATTATTACGATGAGATGATGACGATGACGTTGATTGTGTAAAAATTGTAATGTAATTGTAGAGCAAACATTGCTCTTCTCGCTCTCGCTTTCTCTGTCTAATAAGCGGCTATCGTGCGAATCTGTGTGTGGGTGTACTTAAACTTTGCACATGTTAACTGAATGTCAAGTGGGCAATTGCAAATTGACTGCACTGATAATTGCGTCCAAACATTGTACCACTATTATGGCCGCCTAATAACAGGCCAAGTCACTTGACACATGCCTCTATCGCTCTAGTATTCTGGTAACAAAGGCAGCCAACCAGCTACATCATTAAACATTTTGTGCGTGCGTGCATGTGTGTGTGTGTGGGTGAGTGTGTGAGTGTCTGTTGGCTTTCCCTTGTCGCGGTTTAGTCGCTTAATGAGTCAATTGTGCATTGTCTATTATTTCAGTTCTCATTTATGCTGTTGTTGTGCTTGTGTTGTGCTTGTGTTGTGGCTGTGGGCGGCGTGCGGCATTGATTAGTTGCCATATTTGGTATACAGACACTTACGACTAGTGTGAGTGGGCCCACTCAGCACATTGTAATAATTTAATATGATAAGTCAGATAAACTAAACTGCCTTGATAAGCAAAAATTCCAAATCTGCTGATAAGCTCAATTATCGATCCATTGTCTATGTAAATATACCAATCTCTCATCTCTCTCTCTCTCTCTCTCTGTGCGTAAGTGAGCTCGAGTGCGTGTGGCATGCCGCATATCAGATGTTAAAACTTGACAGTTCCCGCCGGACCTGAGCTTTCTTAAATATTAGACAGACAAAATATGTAATGCAAAGTCGAAGCGATTGTCAACTCACCAGAGAATTGACGCGGGAACTGCACCGAAAATAAAAATGAAAGGAGCTAGCACAAAAAAGGCTGATAAAAGCTTTTAAGCAAACTTTTGCAATATTAAGCACAAAATAAATAAAATAAAACGACACAATATAAAGGGGCTGTCTGCCAGTTTTGGCTCAGTTGGTCCGTGTTGGACAGTCTACCTGGGACAGCTGTCGGCTTGCGGTCTTTGCATAAGAAATAAGTCGATGGCAAACGAAAAACTGTAGCAAAAAACTGCAAAAATGAAAATAAATATATTTATATATTTTGGTTCTACTTTCACTTAGAGCTCTGCATAAATATTATTGTTTAATAGATGCGTGCAGTGTAAACCTGGGAGACTCGCTTCTGCACCATGTCACCAACATTTTGCCCTTTTCGGCACACTTCAGGTGTGCAGCGCCCGGTCCACGTGCACTTCGGAAGCTGGTCACGCCATGGTAGAGTGGCTCAAACCTTAGCAAGTTGCTGGCTCAAGTGGCAAGCCAAGTGAGTGAGAATACCAGGCAGCTGGCAGCGAGTGGTAGTTGCAGCTACTCATGCTGCGTCCGCATGCATGCAACAAGGATGCAGAATTGCCACTTTGAGCGGCTGCCAACTAGCTGCTTCTTATATATATTTTTCTCATTTTTTGGAAAGGGCGACTGTTGGCCCAGCACAAGTTATGAACTTGTACAGTTAAGTTTTAAAGCTAAGCTGCGGATTATGTATCCCGACATACTTTGGCGAAGTTCTTGCCAACCCCGCTTCTTGAGCTGCTCGCATACTTTTTGTGGCCACTGGCGCCAGAGCTGAGCTCTGTCAGAGTCTTCACTTAACCACAGCAAAAAAAAGAAGAAAAACTCGTGGTTAGTTGAGTGCTGCTAAAGTCGTAACCACAGGAAACTCTGTGTACGTCTTATTTATGGCCAGCACAAATATGGGCTGCGGCCGAAATGCGTTGAAAGCTAACCAAAAAACTTAGCATACAAAAATATGCTAAAAAGAGCAGCAGAGTAAATCCCGCGTTATCCCTAGCCTAAAACTAAGCAAACACAGATACACAAATACACAAATCGAAAAGGAAACATTACCCAGACGAATGTAAATAAAACGTTGCATACTTTTAGGCAACAATAACATCTACCGAAAGAAGAACTAATCAATAAAATGAAAATATTGTTGCTGAAAAGTCACTGCAAACAAGACACATGTAAAATACGTTGTCAGTTGTTATTGTTGATGTTGATATTTCTACGGCTCTTGTGCTGCTGCTCCTTTTATCCTTGATGCTCGCAAAATTGCTCACGTACTCTTCTGACGAGTGTGTGAAACAATGTAATTTAAATCCATTTTCAGCACGCCAGAGCGTCACCAATCAAATTGGCAAACGACTGGAGTGTAAGCAAACACTGTAGCAGAATAACAGTATAGAACGAGGGTACATATGCAGCAGCGGCTGCCACACTGCCGCATAACTCAAAGGATCAACAAGCTATTGTAGAAGCTGCGCGTTCGCGACGCTCTTGTGAAAACAATAAGATTAGCTCACTTTTGCTTTCGACAGACGGTGCTAGCTAGGCAAAGTAAATGTGGACTAAAATGAGAAAACGACAACGCACGACAGCAGGCAGCGGCAAAGAAAAACAAAAGCAACTCATAGAAAAATAAATAACGCGCAAGTAGAGCCGCTTACTTACACACACACAGGCACACAAATACATGCGTGAAGTTATTTGCGGCAGTGAAATCCTTTAACTGCACACGCCTCAGCATTGAGAGTTGAACAAATAGCCTGCCATGGTAAAATGCCTTATATGAATCCCTGAAAACAAGCCCCGACTACTGCCTGCTGGCACCGACCCATTCCGCTTCGCTCCCACCAGGCATCAGAAAATAGAAAGCCTCTAGCTGTCGTCAAACACGGAGCGGCTGTCAGGCGGCAGCAACAAATTAAATAAACAGTGATCCATCTGAGCACAGCTCATATTATTAACGACAAATCGAATGAGCTGAGTCTGTTGCCTAATTTTCTTAGTTTTCGCCATGGCCCAGAGCTGCTGAGTTTCGCAGTAACTGCAACATGGTTAAGCTTTTGTTAATCAGCCTGATCCTTTTTGTGGCTTAATCGCTTGACATTTGTATTAGTTGCTGTCGCCTTAACACCCAAACTGCGTTAACAGCGCCATAGCCTGCCCTGCCCTAGCAGCGAACATAGAAACAAGACGTCAAATGTTGTCCATATTAATCTCGTGTCGTGTTTGGCACTAATGCTGACGTGATTTTTCCCCTGCTATTTATTCTATTAATTGACACTCTGCACATTATTGGCAAAAAGTTGGGCTCAACTTTAAGAATTTCTTTGCAGCAACTATAGAGTTGTTAAAGATCAATGCTTTTTGCTTTAACTAAGCAAAATAGCAGCTTTGGCAATAATTGCGAAAACTATTAAATATTAATATTAATTAAAAATGACAATACCAGTGGTCGAGACATGCTTTTGCTTAAGCCTTACGGCATTTGAATTTTTGCTTTTGAAAGCTTTCAGAAGCATACATTACAAATTTTTTCGATTTCTTTTTTTGTTCAAAGAAAGTTCTCAAATATATCTTGAGCAGATTTGCTTAATGAAGCTCTCAAAAAATCTTTGCAGCTTTCACTTTGCCATTTGCGTATTTTTGAATTCAGTTACATCCGTTACAAGCAGTTCTACATTTTTGACAGGCCTTTTCACACGACTGAGTGTATGTAGAGTATATGCAAATCGGCTGGCCAATGGCGGCTTTTTGCTCCGTATTTTTTGCTGTGGACGGCAATTTAATTTAATCACAAGGTAACCTTATCACAGTGGAAACTCAACACCTGCTGCAACGGGCAGCACACACTGACGTCCAACCGCAACTCACACAGACCCACACACACACCTACATGTTTGCAGGTTTATCTGATAGACGTCACAGCCTGTAATCGGGGCGTTGAAAGCGCGAGCGACATATAGCAAGGGACGTCAGGCGTAATGCAAATGTTTCGATTGAATTGTAACCGTTGCGTACGTGTCCTTTGCATGCAGTTTGCTTGAGCTGTTGTTTGCTACCGTCGCACAAGTGCCAATTATATAGATTCCTGAAATTATAGACAACTTTATGGTGCACCTCATGAAAGGTTTTGCTGCCTATCTATCATTGTATATGGCCGTCGTGCTCTAGTCTAATGAACGCATTGCGCAGTTTCAGGCGCGATTGCAGATGTTACACTGGAGACATACGTTCGCTGGCCGTGTCCGTTGGATTTTGGTTTTGAAATTAAATTTCAATCAATTTCGTTTTGTTTGAAAGTCGTGCCGCACCCGGGATCAGTCCCAAGTGGTCGGTAACCCTTTTTCGCTTGTTCGGGAGCGGCTAAAAAAATAATTTATCAAAATTACAAACATTCATACACACACACACACATTGATGGAGCCAGCATAGGCAGATGCGCAGCTACAGACAAAGACAAAACAATCACATGTCAAATTTGCGCCGAGCCACTAAGCAATATAAGAGACAAGAGACAAGAGGCAGAGCTGGGTTGGGGCAGGGACCATTGCGAGACAAGGGACCGCTTGGGGGCCCTGGGGTTCTGTGGATTTGCGGCCAGCTTGTGTTGTGGCTGTAGCCGCGTGAACTTTCAGTGCATTTATCTTCATTTCCAAGCAGCAGCCGCAAAATCAGCATCCTAGCCATGCTTTTCCTGACCCCCTCCCCTCTCAGTTTCAGTCCCAGTCCCAATCTTCGTGCTCTGGTCGCTGAAGCGAGTGACGTGCGTAGCATGGGGGAGCCGCTTCTAAGATGCTCAAGCATAAGAAGACATCAACGTAAATAGCAACGAAAATAGTCACAACAACTGTTGCCTGAAGTGCCTGGCAGTAGAAATAGTAGCAGTTGCTGAGCACTGGGGAGCTAAGCGGCATAGGTGAAAGGACGTCCCAGCCGACATGACATATTAGAATCCTGTTACACATCTCGCCAATGCAAGCACGACTCGACACAGCACAGCACAGCCACGCCGCCTGACTGCCAACTGCCAAATTGCCAACATAAATGTCAGTAGAGCGCAGGGCTAGAGGGTTTTTCATTTCTGATGCTGCCATCTCGGTTTTCGTACGCTCATTCTCCTTACTTTTGTTTTATTTCTATTTTTTTTCGTTCTGCTTCTCTATACGACGCAATCACTCAGGCGTTGAAATCTGCACGTGTGTTGTGTGTATGTGTCTGAGCAGATGATTTGAAAATCCTGTATTGCTGATTTGCTACTTCTGCTGCTGTTGCTGTTGTCGTCGCAGCTTTGCTTTCAGGTGCGTGTGGGGTTAAGTCCCTTAAGGTATGCAATGGATTTCGGTTGCCCCCGGCCTTTTACCCGCCTAGCCCAAAACTTTTAAGGGAAAACTTTAAAGCACACTTCTTTGACGATTCATATGCCCAATTGGTCTGCCAAGAAACAAGTAGGTAAACCCTGCAGGGGCTTAACGCAAATGTAACCAGAGACGACTGCATATGCACACATTAAAATCTATTTGAAATTTCGGGTCGCATAACTAACTAATAAATCTACTACATAAGCAGGCACTGTTTGCTTTGGTAAAGAGTCTTGACTAATATTTCAGGTCCGCGGACAGCTGGTGCTCGTATCTTATCTGCAAGTTTGCAGCTGCAGCGGCGCTTAAATGAGAGAGATGAAAGCAATACTCAAGACTGTCAGCGAAGATGTTGAAGAGCTTATGCAGTGGGAAGACCAAAGGGCAGACACAGGCGTTTCCATACAAAAGCCAATGAAGACACTTGTTAAAATGTGAGGCCAAACAGTAGTCGTACAACGAGACAAAACAAGGACACACAGACACAGACATCTATATTGTATGTTGACAATGGGCAGGGCACAAAAAAATATTAGCACAAAAAATAATATTAAAAGAGAAAGAAGCTAGTCAGAAGATCTACTTGGGAGTTCCCGAACAGAAGGTACACTGGAAGTGCGATCTTTTTAAAATGTCAAAATATAAACTTTTACATAAGACAAGAACTATTTGGAGCATATTATCTTCAAGTGAAGCAACAGACAAGTCTAGTCATGGATTTTGCTTCTTGCGTACACTCACGCAAAGCCAATATACCCTAAAATTCCCTTTTCAAGGAATTCAAGGTATAAAAAGAAAGTGAATGAAATGAGAAAATGTATATGTTGGGCAGGCGGCAGTGACAACAACAACAATGACAACCAAACATAGCTCCTCTACACACAATATTAAGCTCATACACACACAACACACACTCATGCGTTTTAAGAGATTTTCCACTAGAGCAATAGCAACGACAGCGGCGTTGACTTTTCCACTCGTCTGCGTTGTCATTGGGGTTGGGTGAAACAGCAGCAACAACAGCAGCCACAGCAGAAGTAGAAGCAGCAGCAACAAGGCCTTTTACCAGGATTAGTAGTTAACAAGAGAAATCTGGCCACACCCACGCACACACACGCTGGCACAGCCAAAAGGTAATCAGTGAAATGTAACTGTATTGTTTGGCCTGTCGTTCCCTCTGCTGTTGTTGCTGTTGTTGATGTCACCTTATTCATAGGCACGCCTTCTCGTATTGTTGTTGCTGCTCAGTTGCTGCAGCCTCTTAACCTTTTTTGTTGTTATTGTTGCTGTTGTTGCAGCACATGACTGACGATCTCTTTTTAAGTAGTTTTGCTGGGGGTCATTTTGGGTTACAAGGCTAGCGCCGTACACCGAGCCGAGAGGCAGGTGGTGCCCACACACACAAGGTGACAACGTCGTTTTGGGTTTTTCAACTGGCAGCAACAAAAGCAACAACACTATTGCGCACTTTGTTGCTGTTGTTGTTGCTGCTGCCGTCGCTGCTACCGCTGCTGCTGCTGCTGCTGCTGCTTTCATTTAAGTAATCAAAATATGCTTTTGACTTTGTGCTAAGCAGCTGTCGTTCGTTTGTATGCGTAGGTATTTATGTGGCTAGAGCCTTGTGGTTTTCATTTGTGTAGAGTCGGTTTGTCTATGTATGCTCGTGCGTGTGTGCGATTTGGCCACATAATCCCAAAAACTATGTATTTCCCTGCTTTTGTCAGGCATGGGTCTGAGACGGAGATATATATATATATATATATATATATATATATATATATATATATATATATATATATTTATATATCAATATATATACTAAGTGTATATCTGCAACTGTATTTATAGTTGGTTGTGGTATTTGTGTGCGCGTTTGTGTATTTATTTGAAAGCTTTTTAAACTTTGCCACTGACTTTGTGGCTTACGAAATTAAAATTAGAAATTGGTCTGGACTGGCACTGACAAATATCCCTCAGCATTTATGAATGGCCAACGCAGATGTGTGTGTTGAATTGAGTGTGTGAGTGTGTTCGTTGGGAATTAAGTTGCCTTAGAGATTGTAATTAATCAGAGAGCGACCCACATAATAACGAGACAGCAGCAGCAGCAACATTTGCATATAAATCGTTGTTTGCCTCTGACCTAAACTTAATTGCCACATTAATAACATTTAAGGCCAACAGATTTAGCTGCTTATAGGTTCTGGCTTAAATAGTTTGCTATCAACTAGAAATTGTTGCATACACTTACATTGTGACTCTGATCTGTCTTGAGCTCGCGATGATTGGAGAACTGCACGTAGACCATGCGTCCACGCATCTGTGGTGGATTCACTGTGTAACAAGACACCATCGATGTGGCGGATATTTCGTCGGCCATTTCAATAAATGCTTGATTCTTGCCCTTCAGCACCAGGACATTTGTCACGCGTCCGAATGGTATGCCCAGTGCAACTACGTCCGATTCACCAGATTCGTTTGGAATGTTGCGCAAATGAATGACTTTCGAGGCTTTGGCTGCAAGTAGAGAAACGTTAAGACAGTTAGTGACAGTAAATTAAAGATCAGATGATACATGTAGTGAGAGGTGAGTGGTTGGGCAGATGGGTTAACTAATTAATAAGCCGCTTAAAGTATTAACAGCTGCCATACCAAATAGCATCCTTCACTGTCTGCACTTCCGCTTCCGTAAGTCGCTTAATTTGCACGTTCCTATTGTTGTTTTTTCATGCGTTTTGTTTTCTTTCTCTTTGTCTGTCTGCCTTTCTCTCTCTCTCTCTCTCTCTCTCGTTTACATTTCACCTGACACAAGCCCTGTGAAATAAGGCCCCGATAACATGGCAAACGTTGCGGCATTTGTATACATTTTGCACAGTTAAGCGGCACTGCATGAGCACTAAATGGGCATGGGCTACCACGCCATGGAGCGAGACGGGATCGCGGCTATAGCCTAGCACATAAATTCATTCATTGCACTCTCTTTCGCAACGACTGTGAATAATCCACACAGCGACAATGTCCGGTCTGGTCCAGTCAGATTCAAGCCTCACACATATATATATAAACAGAGTACGATTGTCTTTGTTGCAGTTGTTCGTGTGGCAGCTTGGTGTTTCGTTTGTTATTTTTGCATAAATAAAGTGGGCGCCGCTGCAACAGGGCTGCACAAATGGGATTTTAGGCTGTTGCTGTTTTTGGCTGGCAGAGAGCATTTTAGGGATTTGGCTGCGACCCCGTTGCACAGCTGTCCAAAGTGCCTTAAATTTTTATAAACACAAGCAAACAAATTTGCTGGCATGCCACATGCTTTATAACAACAACAATAATAAAAACAAGAAGAAAAAATATTGTTTCTACTGCCGGCACAACTGACACCGCGAGGGACAGGCAGTGGGTCCTTGGCTGCAGCTAGTCTAGCTGGTGCTTAGTCAACACCTGTTAATGTGCTGGTTTGTTTTTTCCTGACTGTGTGAATGGGTGTGTCTGTGTGTGTGCCCCCTTATATGCAAATGAAATGTTGCAACACTTTTTCCTGAATTGCATGCATGTGTGTGTGTGTGTGCTTGCAGTATTTACCGCACATACTAAACAAGCAAACAGAATATGGCAAGAGATAGCCCACGACAATGTCAATAACAGTTAGCACAGGAATTTGCACTCTTAACACACAGCAGCTAATATTTAAACTTAAAATTCAACTAATTTTTAAAGGTGGATGTAATTCAGGTCTGAGATTGAAAAGTAGCAATCATGCGACGCTCAGACGAAATGATGCTTTGAATAGTGTATTATAAGGCAATTATAGCGTCCCAGACTGGGCTCTTTATTTGCTACATGATTTTACTGGGACTCTGCATAAGCAAGATTTGTGGCGGAGTTTATTGTAATGCCACAACGTGACCCAAATGATATAGCTTAACTACATTTATCAGCAGTCTTTACCACATAGTTGTTAACCGCTTTCACTTGGTCCTTACTAATAACTTACAGCATAAAAGGGTCATTACCCGGCCCAGTCCTGATATGCACACTGACCCTTTTCAGCTGTCCACAGTCCATAACTTCAGCTCACCGCCAGCCTGCATGGGTCAATGTGCCAATTTATAACAATGCGCAAAAAAAGTGGAAATAAATGAAAAATAGGCATAGGGCCCCCAATCCATCCGTCGTTGGGCCAACAGACCGGCCATTCAAGCCAACTTGAGGCAAAAGTCATGCCAACTAAGAGAGGGCTCGGCTCGGCACGGCACGGCACGGCTCGGCACGACCTCTCGACTGCAGTTTGGTCAAAGTGGCACAGCACTCGACGCTGAATACAACTAATCGGAAATTACACTTTTTGATTAGTTCGGAACGGAAATGAAGTTGAAACGAAATTATGCAAGCCAGCGGCTAGGCAGAGTGCACGGTATTTTTGCTGCTCTCAACCTTTTGGCAGCTCAAAAATTTATTAAAAATCGATGGCCATGTGCCGGTCCTGTGATGCTGCCCATAAATAATAAGAAATATCACGCTTACAATTACACGACTCAGATATACCAGCACCGGTTGAACAAAACTTATCCAAACTCTGCATTGCATTGGAGAATATTTTTGATAATGGTTTAAAGCGAATCTACTTCATTCACGTTTGCATTTATATACCAATTGCAGTTCAGTTGAGTTAGGGTATAAGCAACACTAAAAAAATTGTTGCATAGTTCTGCCGGAAACGTGCTGCAAAAGACAAACAACAAATCAAGTGCCGTTGGGCAGTTGCTGGAAAAAACGACAGCACTGAAAATATGTAATACTATCTATCATGCATGATGACGTTGTCAACGAGCAGCGAGAAAAAATATTTAAAAAGAAAAAAACGGAGCTGAAAATATGAAATCTACTGAAAGCGCGCAAAACGAAAATTTGTGGATTTTTTGACGTTCTCCATCAACAACTCAATTTGGGTTTGTTTTCCACTAGCAGTTGCAACTGCGACGTTGTTGCCAATGTCTGTTGCTGTTGTTGTTGTAGTTGCTGCTGCATTGCTCGGCTAGAAGAGGAGAATTTGTAACAAATCGCAACAAACGCTGCTTGATGGTGTGAAAACGAGAAACTACAGCAGCGCGATGAGTAAATCGACAACCATCGACATTCACTCAACGGCGAGTGTAGCCGCCGGGCCATCATCGCACTCACCCTCCGCTTGCCAAGCACCTGACCTGCACATACCAACGGCAGGGGCATAATTGAAAAGGAAGATGGCGACGAGTCGACGACGGCCGGAAACATAGCCAACAAGGCCCTGAGGCAGTCAGTTGCAACCGAAATCGAGCAACTGAACTGAAATAAAAAAATTTCGGTTCGGTTCGTTCAGCCATGCTCAATGTGACTGTTGCCTCATGTCCTGCGGCTAATTTTTTACTTATATTTCGGGAAGATTTACAGAATTTTTGAAGTATATTACGAAGTTACCTGCTGCATATTTTCATTTTACGGCGAAAATACCATTTCAGTATATAGACTGAAAATTTCATTAAGATTTCGTGTCAAAAATTGATGTTACGCCTGTGTGAGCTGCTGCTGCCTGAACAAATTGTTCAGCTGCAAGGAGAAGACCTTTTAATCTGCCGAACATGCTGACAAAATAATAATACGGGCACTGCACTATTCGTGCAATAAAATTTGCATTCAATAATGATGCTTGTTTCGCGATGGCGTATTGATATATAAATAACAATCATACGCACGGTTGCACCACGCTTAAAACGCGCTGCAATGAAAGGCGCGACTAAAGCTCAACAGTATTAATGACACGCACTACATGCTGATGGGGCGGCTGTGGCGGCAGCGGCAGGAGCAGTTCACCTTATTTCAATTAAGCCCATACACACATGCCGTGTCATGCCGGGCCACGCTCCAGCCATCGATGAATCGCACGAAAAATATGCATATAAACTATTTATGGCTAATTGAAAAGTTTACAAACTGTAATTGAGTTGGCACCAGTGTGGGCATGAAAATAATGGATGGTCAGCTGTTACATGTTCCACATGCCCATATGCTGTGTGGTCGCTGTTGTTGTTGTTGTTACTATTGCACAATGCGGCGTATGTATAATAATTTGAGAGCCATGTATAAATATCTTTTTTCTTTATTCGCACGGACATAACATGCACAGAGTTAATTAATGACTATTTAAATTCATAAAGCAAACAAAAACTCCCATACGAGAAATGTAAATGAAAATGAATGGAAAAGTGCGTCGAGCATCGACAGTTGAAACAAAGCCATGCAAAATACCCGTTAAATGGTCAACGCCCAAACACCATATCCACAAAAAGCAGCCGCCCCCACACTGCCCACAAAAAATACTGCTGATTGTTAATAACAATTAAATTTGTGCTTACGCGGCGGCATTTAATCATCGAATGTGCGCTTGACGCCAATGCCTATCTGTGCCTGTGTCTGTATAACTGGTGTGCGTGTGCGTGTGCGCGAATGTGATTATTCCCAATATTTGAATATTCACACACGCACACACGCACATACGCTTTACATTTAATTATGCTACAGCAAATTAGGTTTTTACAGGCTCACACATCATAAATTTTAAATTGTTGGCCAGCAAGTGGCAGTTCTGTGTGTGTGGGTGCGCTGTGCGTGCATGCGTAATGACTTAATGATATTTACTTTGCCGGCGCCTTGTCTTTAATTTAAACATTTCTTTCTGTATAATCAATCATAGCACAAGTTTTTACATCAACTGAAACTCAACGCCAGCAGCCATGTTCGAGCTCTCTCTCTCTCTGTCTCTTTTACTTTCCTTCTTTTTTTTGGCCCAGTGTAATTCTGTTTTCAGGCCAGCCATAATTGAAAATAACGATTTTTTTCTGGTTGCTGCTGCTGCTGCTGATACAAGCAAGACACGAGCCTAACACCCGCAAGTAATGTAATTCATTAAAAATTTGTTAGCACATAGACACAAGGCGGAGCCCAAGGGAGAGAGAGAGACTGCACGAGAAGTCAACGCACGCAAAGTCTGACGACGTTTACAAATTTTAATTGCATTTCAATTACGGGAATAGTTTCCATATATATTTTTTTGTACCTAATGCTGGAAGAATGGAAGGAGAATGGAGTCTGCAATAGGAGCAGACGCAGCTTCCATGTCCTGTGTGCAGTCAAGTAGCGCAATCGGCTGGGCGTCCTGAAACGACGACAACTCCAACTACATGGGTTGAAGTGCTGCGAAGTATATCAATTGCATAAATTATAAGTGCACTGAGTTGGGCGAGCTGAGTCGGGGGGTCTGAGTCGTTTCGCTTCGCGTTTTCTACTTCATTTGCACTCTATAATTATGCTCAACTGTTTAAAGATGCTGCTGAAAAGTATGCTACGAATTGCCGGGATAAACCGGCAACGAGTCGTATGCTTAATCAAGTAACACATATGCAAATACAAATGTGTGGCATGTGGCATATGGCGTGTGGCAGCCGTAAGTCAAAAGTGAAACCATATAAATAATGACAATAAATGCACGTTCAACTAGCCGACACGCACTGTGTCTCTCATAAATGATCGCAATGGACCAAACATATCCCATATCCAATTGACATCAACTGTCAGTGTGCGTGTGCGTTTGCCTTTCAGCTTTCAGCTTTCAGCTGCTGTTGCTGCCGCTGACCAAGTGCAAATTCAGATTTTTATTCTGGTTTGCAGTGCTCTCTCAATATTTGCACAGACGTTGACGGCGCCGCATACAAATAAATATGACAATATTATTTTATTGACTGTGAAAATATTTACACGCAACAGACGTGCGACTGCGCTGCGGTAGAGACAAGGAAGCGCGCGTGCCGCGCACACACAGAGACAGGACAAAGAGCAGCACAGACAGGTCGCTGCATGCGCTGCACGCAGTTTGCAGCTCACAGCACAGTTGCCACACACTTCAAGCACTGCCATTTGCGCTATGGCTATAAAAACGCTCAAGTACTTCACTGTGCTTTGAGCCATGTGCTTGACTGCCTGATTGAATGAAATGATATAGGCTTTACCTGATCAATTAATTACCCAGCTTATGAAGAGTTCCATATTCAATTTATGCAATTATATGCGCTTTTAATTTTAAAGGATATATAGCTAATGTCAGCCTTCTTCGAGTAACTTCACAATAAAACAGTTCCCCAAAGCAAAGCTCATATTGTCAAATATTCATGCATACATAAATATATTGCATGCGTATAGGTGATTGCCGTGTTGTTTTTTATTCAATGTTACGTTTTAACACCTTGAACCATGTTGCTTGTTAGCCAATGGTCACCCTCAAATCGGTCAATAAACAAACAAATATTGGCGGGGCTAGACAAACATTGCTCGTTTGTGTATGTGCATACAGAGATGTGTGAGTGTGTGTGTTGTAACAATAAACAACGAACACGCAGCAACAATAACAGCAACAATAGCTACACATGCTGCTGTCCCGGACCAAACACGCGACATTCGCTCGGCTTAGCTCGACGCAACGCAACGCAACGCGACTCAACTCGGTTTGTTTTAGGTTTTTGGTTAGGTTTGTTGCGTTTTTGGCGTGGTTCGAATTAGCCGGCACGGGGTCTCAAACTTTAGTCCCCGAGGTCTAATTTGGCTTGCATAAAATATGCATAATAATCAAAATAAAATAAATCAAACGCCACTAAGCAAATGCGAGTATTTATTACAGAAGCAAACGGAAGTTGGGACATTGGGAAACAGAGAAACAAAATAATATATATATATATATAGAGCATAGTATATGGAGTATATATAACAAAATAAGCAGTGTGCGCTTTGCATTGTAAGATGAGCCGAACGGAGCGTGGCCACTTACTCGAAGTGTGCTTCACACACACACACACATACACTCAGTCACTTGAAGTGGTTGGGCGTGTCATTGCTGGAGCATGAGGCCAGAAGTGTTTTTATTACATTTACGTGCAAAATTTGTTGCATGTTCGATGGCTAAGCTCGTGTAACGGAAACGTTGCTCCGTGTATTGGTTTAGTATGCCATACAAATACAATTGACAACGGCCAACGGCCAACGGCTAACGGCTAACGGCCAATGGACGTCGTATGAATTCAGCGCTCAGCGTTGGGGAGTGCCAAACCACCAAAAATAAGAAACGAGGAAAAAAAAACAATTTTTGGCAGTGGCTCACTGTGCGTACGGACATGGGTGTGTGGGTGTGCGTGTGTTTATCTAAGGCTGGCCACACAATGCTTTTTGTTGCTTTTGTTGGATGCTGCCTATTTACTTGTCTGGCATTTGTTGTTGAACCTGTAGTTGTTGCTTGCTCAGTGCTGCAATGCAATAAAAGTGTCCTTACACATTTATTTAGCAATTTCTTTTGTTATTATTTCTGGCATCAGCAACGTATTTTTGCTTTTGTGCGTCAGCTTTAAGTGGTTTCCATGTAAGCGACCTCGCACACACACAGACGCACAGACAGCACAACAAACACAAATGAATTCATTGGATTTTCAGTGGCACCTCTCACTTTCACCCGCAGCCTGTGGTTGCCTCTTTGTCTTTTCAGCTTTAAGCTGCTCATGACTTTAAAAATTTTGGGATGCTTTTGTGTTTGCGAGTGAACTTTGCGTGGCAAATTAAAAAGGCCGCAGGTGGCATGTGGCATGTAGCGTGTGCCGTATGCCGTGTAGCGGAGGACAGGTTAAAGGTGGCAGGTGTCAAGGGGGCGCTTGGTTCACAAGCAGTCGAATAAACGTCCACGATGTCTACTAACCACACTCCCAGCCTGCTTTGCGCTTGCGTTTGCGTTTGCGTTTGTATGCATGAGTTGGCACTCAAATGCCGCTGGGTCGTCTGTGTCTGGACCAGGCATTCGAACAATGAACGCCTGCAACTCTTTGCCAGTTACCAACTGGTCAACAGTGCGTATGTGTGTGTGTGTGTCTGTGTGTGTAGGATAGAGCTTGTTGCTTTTTAATTAATAGAAAAGTCCTTTGTAGAGTAATAAATAAATATTATGCTTTTGCTTTTGCTTTTGCGCTTTTTTCGTTGCGTTCTCGATTGCCACTCAGCACGTAGGTATGTAATATATATATATATGTACATATGTATGTGTATGTGTGTTTGGGGTCCTTTGACTATCTGCCGTCTAGCGAGTGAAGGGTAGTGTGCAACCCGTTAAAAGGCTTACAACTTTCAACATTTTTTCTTTTCATTAAGCCATATGTTCCCATTGATTCCTATTGTGACGCAGCAGATAATTGAGGAGGTTTTTAGGACTGCTAATTGGAAAACCAAAAGCGTATAAATTTTTAACGCAATTCTAATGGAAACACAGAACCATAGCGACAGAGAGAGAGAATTTTTATTTTATTATCCCATTTTGTGATTACATTGGCATTTTGCACTCACTCTTTAAGTCTTTGTGTGTGTGTGTGGCTGTGTTGGTGTGCATGAAAAATGCTTTCGCATGAATTTGTTGATATTTAAAATCATTTTGTGGCTGACTGATTTTTGGTTTCGACTTTCGGTTTAAACAGTGACGTTGACGGCCGCTTGGCAAATATTTGCCTAATGTGTGGTTCAGGTTCTGGTTGTCGGTTTCTGGTGCGAGCGGTTTTTGATTAGCTTTATTACTTTGTGCCAGAGCCGACACGCGCACGCTGTGGGTTTGCAGCTGCTGGTGGAGGAGGTGCTGGTGGTGTGTGTAGGGCTAATTAATGTGCTCGAATTGCGTGGAAGGACTCTACTCATTATACAAACGCGGCGGCTTTACTATACTTTTTCATATTTCGCTACCAAAAACAAAGCTTGCGTCGAAATGTTTGTTTCCATGCTAATTAGCGGGTTAATTGGCTATAAGAACGGCCGCGAATGCTAGGCCCATGCTAAACCGCCTGCCATAAGCAGCCAAGTGGCCGACACTGGCTTAAGCTAGCTTAGGCCATCGGCATTGCCTAATGCACGCAGCGGGGGCTGCGGCAGCTAATTGGCAACCCAACCTGGCCTAAACTATGGCTGCAAAGTGCACTTAAGTTGAGCGGCCCAGGCGTGCCATAAAATGGGCTTATATATAGAGCGAAGGAGCTGTTCGGTGGGGCAGCCGTAGCAGTAGAGGCATAATAGGTAAAGGTATAGTTAAGCTGGGGGTAAAGATAAGTTGCAACAGGGCCAGACAGACATAAAGAAAGAGTGAGAGTAAGGGAGATATAGAGGCAGAGGCAGAGGAAGAGGAGGGGAGAGTGGGATAGAGAGCGTGCAGAGAAATATATAGAAAACTTACCAATTCCGCCAGCCAGCACGGTGCTCGAATCCAGTTTGGCCTTCTTTGTGGCCAGATCCTGATTATTATTGTCGGAAGCGGGCGCCATGACTGCAGCTTGACTCAAAAGTTCGTCGCTTCCGCGCTGCATGGCCACACGGGCACAGATACACGGTTGTGCGCAACAAGATATAGATGCATTCGCATTCGCATTCGCATTCGCATTGGAGACACGAGATTTTTGGTGCAGGCAGCGGTTGGCATATTTTGTAGTTGTTGTAGTTGTTATGTTAATAGATTGTGGTTGTAGTTGTAGTTGATGATGCAGAGACACAGCACAGCAGAGAAGTTAAAGATGGTTTCAGTTTATTCAGTTGAGTTGAGTTGAATTGAGTTGAGTTGAGTTGAGTTGAGTTGAGTTGAGTTGAATGGTAGGCAAGTAGGCAAGTTTGTAGTTGTGTGTGTGTAGTAGATGAAGTATATACGATTACGGTACATAAAAAGAGAAAAATAAAAGAGAAGAGAACAATATAAATATTTAATATTTACGCAAGTTAAGTAAATTACAGCGAATCAGCTCAGATGAGCTATTTGTTCTTGTTCTTGTTGTTATTGTTTTAGTTTAAGTTGTTGTTGTTATTGTTTTTTGTGGTTTTTTTTTTTTGTAGTTGAATGCAGAGAAATTTGAGTGGTGCTCAGCGAGCTTTGCATTTTGTGTAGAGTAAATTGAGTACGCCTGGGCAGGTTTTAGTTTAGTTCAGCTAACTAAGTCAACATAAGTGGATGCGCAATAAATTCTATTAAATAAGGCGAGGGCAGTTTAATGTCTACTTGAAAACTACAACTACTTTTTAGCAGAGACTACATATAGTATAAAATTTGACAAAGCATAATCCCGACTTTTACCTTATTGAAGCATTTTTTATTGGCTTTATTTAGTTATGTAGAAATGATTGATGTTGTTAGTTCACAAGATAAATCAATTTAATATATAAATATAAGTAAATACAAATTAAATTTGGATTGTATTTCCATACTTAATTAGTATTTTTAAAACTGAAATAAAAAAAAATTAATAAAAATAATTTACGAAATGAAATTTTAAAATCATCAAGCTGAAGAGAGAATTCTATTTTGGAATTCTATTGAGGAATATCCTTAATATGAAACAAACTATGAAACGCGAAATGTAATGAACTGATCAAGCAACCCTCGTTTAGCTAATCAAAATTCGCACTCCGCTGTTACGCAAATAGACCCAAGTTCTATTTAAGTAAAGCTGTTTGCGCAAATTCCCCGGGTGCAGCCTTTGGATAAACAAGCAGCGCGTTTTCCCATTTTTCCTTTTATTTGTGGATTTTTCGTGTTATTAGTTGAGATTTGCGAGGGGCAAATAATTGCGAAAAGCACACAGAATATTCATTGAAATTAACCAGAAATGCGGCAGCGCCAAGAAAGTGATATTCTGGCTTTAGCTTAGTTTTTGCTTCGTAGTAAATATTAAAAGCCAAGATTGACGCTAAACTCTAATTAGAAAGCCATGTTGCATGCAGCACATGCATAAGTGTATTGTAATTACATGTGACACTTAATTACCACACTCATGAGTGCGGCAACAACGCCAAAGACAAAGTCAGAGCCGGAGTCGCAGCCCAGTGGAAGCCAAAGCCAAAGCCAGAGTCAGAGTCGAGCATCGAGAGTAACTAAGTTAAGCCAAACATTAAACGTAATGCGAGCTATAAAAATAAAGCTGCTGTTGCCGCTGCCATGTGTGCGTGTGTGTGTGTGTATGTAGAGAGAACGTATGGTAGCTGATGTTGCTGCTGCTTCTGTTTCTGGCTACTGCTATGCATTAGCAGCAATGACAAAAAGTCAATAAACGAGCAGCGCAGACAAAGGGGAAGTCCTCTCCCGCACCACACGGTTGGCAAATTGAAAAGGGTAATTTTGTGTGAAGTAGGCACCTTTATGCGATTACGGGGCAAGAGAGTGTACGTTCTGACTGGGGTGCACTAGCTGGCTGCTGGCTGCTGGATGGCTGACTGCTGCTACTGCTGCTGCTGCTGCTGCTGGCTGCTATCAATGCTGACTTTGCTTGAATTCGCCACTTAGCTTATCATCAGTCGGCGCTTTGCTTTACTGTTGTTGCTCTTGTTGTTTTGCTTTTGTTATTTGTCGTTTGCTGTTTGCTGTTTGGTTTTTATTTTTATGTGACTGCACGTTTTATGTACATAAAAGAATTAGCTTAAATACAAAAACAACATGTGGTAATAGTAATAATAACAAAGCCAAAACGCACGCACACAGAAATATATCAGCGGTGCACAACACGGCTGAGCGCCGGGCCGCGCAGAGATGTGCGCGTGTGTGTGTGTGATAGACAAAGCAACGGCAAAAACCACAAAAGCACTTCACTTGATAATATCGCAAGCAGCGACAGACAGACAGAGGCAGAGACAGAAGGAGAGGGAAGGAAAGAGGCGTCAGGGAGACTGAAATCGCGCAAAGCGCAGACAAAAAACGAACATGGCACGCACACACGGGCTGGGCAAAGCGAAAACGCGAATGCCTGCACACACACACACGCACATATGTGTGTGCGAGTGTTTGTACGTGTTTTTTGTGGCTTGTTGGTTGAGTAATGATATCAGAGAAGCTGTTGCTATTCCCGCCCGTCTGTCTTGCGTATTGTATTGTTATATGGCCACGGAGGCAGCAACATATGTTTTGTTCTGTGCGTGCCATATGTTTAAAGGGATTTGTAGCATACTTTTTTGGCCGGATTCCGCTTTAGTGATGCAGCTCTTCATAGCTAACCTTCACATCACTCTGGCAATGCGCACGCATTGAACAGATGCAGGCAGACAGAGCGAATGAGCGCGGCGACTGAGTATAGTAATTAAATTTTAAAATAATCTCCAGGGCAATGCTTACAACGCTGGAATGTCGGGAAAGTCTCTAATGGATTCGTTATGGCACATTAACGCTCCCAAATGCCGGCCAACTGGCATTCGCTGGGGATTTGCCTGGTTTCTCTCTGCGGATCATTGCATTACACGCTTCATGGGGCTTTTGCGGGGCCAACGCCCCCACTTACGGCACGGCTGCAACTGTTGCCTGAATCGCTGGCAAGCTGACCGGAAATGTTATTGTAATATGCTCGTATGGTCTGCTAAAAAGTATGCTAAATATTTGATTATGAACTGTGTCCGTCTGCGACGCGTGTGCACATATGGCCCAGCTGATAAGCCCCGAGACCCAACTGGACCATTGTCCATTGTTGCCATCCACTGACAGTCTCTGGTGCGTTTTAATGAATTTTCCCAGAACCTTTTTTTTGCTTTCTATTTTCCATAAGCCGTGGCCAGCGGCCATTCCACTGGTGCTGCTGCCCAGCTCCACACACTGATTTCTACGATGACATGTGCCTTTTTATTCCTTTCCCCCTCCTAACCACACTTCGGCCTCATCTCTTTCAGCATGTTTCCTTTGCTTCCGCCTTTGTTGCCGGGTAACTGGGTCAGCGCGCAATTGTTGAAGGGCTGCTAGTGCTGCTATTGCTGCTATTGCTGCTTCTTCTTCTTCTTCTTCGTCTGTTTCCACTAAGGGGGTTGCTGGTGCTGCTCCAGCCCCTGTCGGCCAGTAGCTGCGAGAGAGAAAATCACGCATATGCCTAACGGTTAAGTTTTTGAAGTGCACGACGCAAACGGAAGCAGAGGGTGTCAGCATCATCAGCAGCAGCACCGGCCGCATGTGTTTGTGTCCCTCTTTTTATGCTCTTTGTGGTTGTTGTTGTTGTTGCTGTAATGAGCGTCACATTCTGACATGGCTGATCCAATTTGGAAGTGGGTAGCTGTGCTGGCATTTGTTTAATTTCTTGCTCCACATTACATTTGCCCCTTTAATATATACTTTAAAGTGAGTCGCATTTGCTATTGGGAGCTTAGATGCCTTATTTATATATAACAACAAAAGCTGAACCTAAATCAGAGACATATGCACAATTTACGATTGCTTGCAAAATTTAAATATAAATAGCTCTTCTTTCGGCATTATATTTATATTCAAATGGCGTGGGCCAGAGGTATCACTGTTTAGGACCTGACTTTTGATAAGCAACTGAGATACGTGCCCCTATAATGACAACACAATCAAGCCGTGCTTTAATTGCATCCATCCGAAAAGCACGCGCCACCGTCGAAAAGTACATTTCATGAAGTGCCAGCAACAGCAACAGCAACAGCTACGGCGACAGCAACAGCTGTCCGAAAGACCCCAATATATCACTAAATATGAGGCAAGGCATGGCCATGGCATGCACGTATTGCTGCATGTGTGACCATATCAACGCCCTCATATATTGCACGGACGAGCGTTCGCCCCTTTGTTGTTGGGAATTTATGGCGGCATATGAATATTAAAATCGAATATGTTGCTGTCGATTAAAGGCTTTTTGTCCGGAGTGCACTCGCCCCGCCACGAACTGGCGCAACGGAGCCAACCCGTTGCAATTGTGGTCGTTTGTTCTGTATTTCTCTCTGTTGCGCACCCACATATTACCCGCTGCTCACACTCCGGCTGTGTGTATGCTGAGCTCACAGCGACACAGATACGAGTCGACATTTCCGCTTGTGCGGCAAATGCTGGGCTATGGATCGGTCCATTGACGATGACTGTATGCACACAGTTGTTGTTGATGTGGACGATGTTGATGATGTTGATGATGATGGTGGAATCCTTGAAAATGCGAGCGTATGACGCAAAGAATTGCATATGTAGGTAAAAATAACAACAGCGGAAAACTGACGATGCACCTCCATATGCCCGCTACCCCAGCCATAATAATAAAGATCTGCAGCAATGGTGGCAGCGGCGGCGGCCTTTGAAATAACAATTATTGCTGCCCATCGCTGCAGCAGCAGCAGCAGGGAAATCCGCTAAGAGGACGCGTGTTGCTGGCTTTAAATTGTGGGTGCACACTTTAAGCTGACACTGGCAAGCAGCTTATAAATTCTAATTAGAAACTGTATTTGGACAGGCAGCAGCAGCTGCTATAGAGCAGCCCCATTCTCTCATTTGTTTGCTAGTTGTGGTAGTTAATAAACGCAACTTGTGGCTGCGGCCTAGTTAACCCGCCACTGCCAT